CACCGTAAGGTTGCGCTCATCTTTGCGTCAGCGTACGCTGACCAGTGCATGCTAGCGTCCACCAGGAGTGTGGGGAGTATGGGGAAGTAGAAGGGTAGCAGACGGCTTCATTAGGCGTCGTGAAACTGCGGCATGTGCACCCAAACCTTCACCCTACATCAAGAGTGCATATTTCAAAGTCTTAGCAGTTGTGCGGTACGGTTGCGCACGGCGTAATTTCACCTCACACGCCGTAATTTAACCTCGCCTAATCCAGCGAACTGCTACCCTCCTAACGTTGAGAAACGCTGGTATACCCAGTCTACGCTAGTTCCATAGCTATACTGTCCTAGTGGCTCAAAACGCTGCCTCACGCTGACGCAAAGTATGAACGCAGCCTAACGCTTATTTGGCACATCTAATGACATCTGGGTGAGTTAGCAACTGCGAGCGTATCGCAAGGGCGGCTGAGAGTAAAAATGAAGACACACCCAATCATAAATATCGTTTGGATCATCAAGGAAAGTGCATCGGGAACACAGCTTACATTAATCGCATCATGGGCGCGGCCAGACCTACCATTACGTTTCCCCCTTTGGAGCATTTCTCCAATCTTAGATAGCAAAGATAAGGAACTCAGTAGTGAGAAAGAGATTATGGTGACCCTGAACCAGCCCACGAGGTTAGCGTGGGCTGTGCTTCCAAAGAAGAAATACTCGCCGAAGGAGTAAGTTAAGAGTGGTAAATCTTACCAAGTATGGATTTTCACAGCTTGTAGATGACGTCGTGGTGTTACCATCTCGCCCCAATGAGGATCCTGGGGAAAAAGAAATTGTATAAACATTTCGAAAGTGGAGGGTCTCATAAGGGACCTACACAACAAACGATCTCACGGTGAAACAGCAACGCTTGTAACTACGCTGATACGCTTTCACGTCAAAAAATATTGTCTCTCACAACTGCATTTTTTTGATAACAAAGAAACAGGTTAATTTCTCACACCTTCTGAACTTTTACTGGTCGTGCTGAGGGGCCTCGTCCGGTGCATCTGCTCGATGTCTTGCTTGGAACCACCTAACTGCTTTACATGTGTGCCAGCCGACGACGAGCTAGTACTTCTCATTATCGGGATAAGACCTCGAACCTATAAAATAACTTCTCACTGCAAATTCAGAAGTGCGCCTTTTCAAGCCATAAAGCAAAGGTGTAGGAAAATAAATAAGCGAACAAATGAAAAAATATTTAACAGTTCCTAGTATTATTCCTCATATATCAGCTGCACAATGCATTGCCAAAGCTAATCTTGAGAGTAACGAAACATTTTGTTCATATTTATATGAACGCGAGCGAAGGTGTTGTAGTGGCTAAGGCCGCGTTCACCACGTGCACGATTCGGATGCCAAATCAGGTAGGGACTGGCACTGCACAAGTCAACAAAACATTTCGCCCTTCATCGGCCGGGGCCAATGGATTGGTACCAGACTTGTCTGAGAAGATGAACACCGGCTTGTATTAGGTTGGCGGGAAAGTTCTGTCACTTTTTTCAAATTGGGCTTTCTTTTTATAGAGAGGCGTGTAAGATCAAAATTGTACAGCAATGTTACTGCGGGGTCCTTGCCTGTTTTTGAGCACCTCATGGATGCCATCGCTTCACAATGCAGGGAGGCGCGATACAAAGTTGGACATCATCTCAATCTTGGCTTGAACTCAGACTTTTCGAGGTTTTCTCGTAATTTCTCGTCCAGTAATGATTGATTACGGGAGGCAACTCGCAGTTAGAAGGAGCAATGTCTGTGCTACACCACTGCAAGGGGAGAGCCATCCAGCTCTATTGCATGAGGAACGGCTAGAACTTTTTTGGAAGTGCGCTGCACTATCAGAAGCATTTGGAGGGGTCGGTGGCGATGGTAGCGGATAACATTCTTGTCCATATTGCAGAAGAAGAAGAAGAAGCAGGAATCAAGCGAGTGGTACTAATAGAAAGACCACTCTTTGATGTATAAGTGCTCATATTACCGTTACACCCCTCTTCAGGTAATGGACAAATATTTTTGAGTTCAAAAAAAGTGACAGAACTTTCCCGCCAACCTAATAGATGATCTAGCTCAAGCTCCCCCCCCCCCCACCTTCGGAGCATACCCATTCCAAGAGCCTCTACGGGTCTGCGCCATCCCATATCAGCTCATATAATACCACATTTGGGCCCAATAAAGTTTCTGTTCATTTTATTGTGCATCCTTTTGTCACTGCTATGTTGTTCTGCATAGGACAAAAGTAATCAAAGGGCAAGCGGTACTACTAGTCGTGCGCGCTGCATAGGTAAAATTACTGAATCAAGTGCCACTCGCACAAATCGAGCCTTCCACCTCTCGAATATTTGCCTACTCCCCCAAGAAGAATAAACGTTTTGCGCAGAGTGAACCGTCGATGGAGTGGCCCCAGCAAGCCGTTGTACCGATAAAATTGCATCCAAAATGCCATTTTTATCTGGAAGAATGAGAGTTTTAGATGGGTGGAAAAGAATGATGGCCGCTTACGAAGAACGGACTGATCAAGCCGGAAGCTCCAGTAGTTTTATAACCTGCTATCATAGGTAAGCGACATTAAAACAATTGAAAAATGGAGAAAATTCTCAAAAACTGTGACCCACCCGTTCTCCTGCTGACTGGTTATGTGCTCCTTGCGGTTGCAAGTCGATGAAGCTCTGCAACTCATGAACCGAGCCCGGTCCCATGTGGACGATATGCATAAAGTCGCTTGGACCAGATATGGGAAGATTGCTTCGCCTATCACCAGGCCTGAAAATAAAGATGAACTTCATTCAAAATCCTTATCACAGCACTGAACATATAGCACGCTGCCGTGCACCGCGAGTGATTTCTCCAAAAAACATTGGTTAGGAAGTCCACCCCGCGACACCGGCAGAAAACAGGTTACGCGCAGGTAGCAGAGCAATTCCACTGGTTACGCTTTCTTTATCATGCCAGTCGCAATGTGGACCTTCTGGCAGACTATTGAACATCCTCCAATAAGATCTGCACTAACCTTGATTCATCCTTTCCCGGAATACGAACGGAGAATTTTCGTTTTCCTTGCTTCCTCTTAGGAAGCGAGGTTGATGAGTTGCTTGCCGTTGATGAATGAGGCACGTATAGCAAATCTTCATCTAAATACATGAGTGAGCTTTACCTCATAAGGAACAAAATACCAATGTTATGGAGAAATTAAAATCGTGAGGTATTTCTACATCACATCCCGGCATTCGCTATGGCGCTAAGAAAGGAAAGTGGAAGCGCTATTTGAAGGCTCAGCCCATGAACACTCATAATTTCTAAGTTATTTACACGAGGAGGTAGTACTGTCTGCAGCGAGTAACCCTGCATAAGTTTCAGTGTCAGAAAGTAGTAAGAAAGGCGGTAAGGCACAAGATTGCTCAAGTGACCCAGACCATGTCGATAGATGTCTTGTCTGCTGTCTCGCTTGTTTGCAAGCTCTCTCTCTCTCTGCTTTCTCTGGATCCTTGCCTGGAATCCACTTCGATTCTTTGACTCTCACTTAGCTCAGGTATGGCCTTAGTTGGAGCGTTGTCGCTTTCCTCTCCTTTTTTTCCACGAGCAAGTCAACTAGCACATACACTTCTGCTACTAAACTCGCTACCTGCGAACATTTGGCTGGCTAATCGCGAAGTCTTCTTAGAAAACGATAGCTAGGGTCAAAAACTTTCGCCGCCTTCGCTTTTGGACATCATTAGGGAAAATCCGGTGATTCTGGGCATTTGAATGAATTCTCCTATATCGATCTCACGTGAATCAGCATATCTTCCGTCCCCCTACTATGTTAGGTCTATAGCAGGAGAAAGCTCGAGCTGGCTCGCAAAGAAGTGATTCACGCAGCTCATCGATGGAATGCCCTTTAGAAACCAACCAGAAAGGACGTCACATAGCATCACCACGAACGGCGCATCGTTCACCACACACAACGAGAGAAGACCATTCGGTGTAAGAGGGAAGGCAGTCCTGTAAAGTCTTTCATTGGAATCTTAAACAAATGTAACCCGAATAGTTACATGAAAGCATAGGATTCCTCTTTTACGACCCTTAACCTCTACTAGAAAAGCTTCAATCGTTCCTTTACCTGAGATTGATTGTCTGGATCCACTCCGCCGACAACACATTGAATACATCAATCTGATTCTCCGAGTACACACACAAATGAGGACTGAGATGTGCGAAACCTCCCGGTCGTGGTGCCGACGGGAACATCAACTCTTGTGAACGACTTCTCCGGCCTGAAATCCAAATCATTTCACATTGAACAAGTCGCTCGCACAGTTTGGCTTGAAGCCGCTCATTCGAAAAATACTTCTTAGTATACGTAAGCAGAAAAAACCAAAAAGGTGAAATATAAAAGAAATCAGAGATTGAGTGTTAACCAACCTTGAGCATCAAGCGTAGAGTCCGATTTTATCAAAGACTAACAGGTACTCTCTAGACAATGGCTCTGTGGATTCTCCAGCTACTTCAACCATAAGTTGTGCCTCGTAATTCGACTGACTCAGGAACTGTAGCGACTGATCTTCCATATTCACCAGGGCTGAAGACACTCTTGTAAGGCACAATCCATTTCGTCGATGATTTCACATTTTTTTTTGCAAAGTATTACTCAGAGATGACGATCTATCGGTGGATATGTAAAGCTCGCTCTTCTGAGGTTTGAAACTCGTCTTTTAATGTGGAGGAACACTTCTGAGTTTCCAAACAGATTATTCTAGCCACCTCAGTCTCCATAAAAGCGATTTCGACATTACAGTTCGGAAAAAGTGATGATGGAACCTAGTATCGCAGGTAAAGTTAAGATAAGATAGACGGGCAGCATAGAACTAGGATGTACAGCGCTACTTCCAAGTTGCGGCATGGCGCCTCAGCAAAGCTTTTTCCTAAGCTACTTACCAGGAAAGGTCAACAGGTCGCCATGGCCATTCAAGATGAGATGTATATCGACGTGTAGGTCTTGGGACGCTGAACTCAAATCTGCTTCCAAAATTTGCTGCAACGATTCTCTATGAGGAGCTAGGGGGGGGGTGGTGGTTTTAGCATAGCACTCGCCGTTCCTCCTTTGCGTAGCTCAAGTTGAGTTCGAGTTCAGAAAGACTCTCGTGTCGATGCGGTAGCGGAATAGGTAGTTTCTTGTTGGGGCGGTGGGAGCGTACATGGGTTCGCATTCCATGCAGGTTTTGTGGATTTTTGCATTTTTTCGGAACATCTTCTGTGAGTTCAGAAAATACTTTTATCCGTTATTTTGTCAACCTTGCTCTTAGTTGCAGCAGAAAAAGACTCAATTGCGCAAATTCTTGCTTCGCCTTTTAAAAAGAGCCTTCTATTTTTTCTTTTTTCTTTTGCGCCGTGTTCATTTACTGCCTACATTACCCGAAAGCAGGCCAGTTTGTCCGACTTTTTTCTTCGTGAGCAGAATTGGCTGAAAAGTTGCCTACTAGGGTAGTCTGCCCATCTGAACATGATTATCACATCCGTCGGCAGGAAACCCCTCGCACCCGTGTCACAGGCGCCAGCGCCAAAATACCCTCGATCACCAAGTTCGTTGAAAACTTGTCAACTGGGGCAGTTTGACACCCTAAACACGAATATCACACCCGTACAGTCTGAAACCGCCTGACGCATACGCCACAAGCGACCCATCACACTCCGACTCACTTGTTCCGACTCGGCGTGGTCAGCACAACTCCAGTCCCGCTTTTCGTGCGAGCTCTGTAGCGCAGCTTGGGCAAATCGGGCCCGAAGTGAAACGCATCACTCTTCCCTGCATCTGCCTGTCATAGAAATCCTTTCCCTTATGTTGATGTCGCTCGCGGGAAAAAGCCGCCATCTCAGGGGGGGTGGGTGCAGACGCAAGGTTGGCGCGCAATCACATTATCCCTTTTTCTCTATCCCGAACGCCCCATACAATGTGGTGTTCGTGTTCAGGAGGTCAAACTGCTCCATTTGAAAAGTTCAGTGATTCTGGTGATTTCGAGTATTATGTCGCCGGCGCCAGGCATTTCCGGGCTCAGGTAATGGAATATTCGTGTTAGGGGGTCAAACTACCCCAGTTGACGGTTTCAACGAACCTTGAGATGATCGAGGGTTATTTTGGCGCTGGCGCCTGTGACACGGGTGCGAGGGGGTTTCCTGCCGACGGATGTGATAATCATGTTCAGATGGGCAGACTACCCTAGTAGGCAACTTTTCAGCCAATTCTGCTTAGAAGAAAAAGTCGGTCAAAAACTGGCCTGATTCCGGGTGATTTGGGCAGTAAAAGGTAAACACTACCTAGAAGTCTTGAAAGAGAAGCACAATTGCCGGCATTTAAGCCTTTTCCTGCTGCAAGTAAGAGCAAGCTTGACAAAATAACGGATAAAAGTATTTTCTGAACTCACAGAAGATGTTCCGAAAAAATGCAAAAATCCAAACCTGCCATGGAATCGAACCCATGACCTCCCACCTATGAAGCAACTTACCTATCCACTACACCATCGACCACGTGAGTTTTTCTGAACTCGAATTCAACTTGAGCTACGCAAAGAAGGATCGGCGAGTGCTTTGCTAAAAACCACCACCCACCACCCCCCCCCTAACTCCTTCATAGAAATCGTTCACAGAATTTTGGAGCAGGTTGAGCTCAGGCGTCCCAACGACCTACACGTCGTATACATACTCTATCTTGAATGGCATGGCGACCTGATTGCTTTCCTGTTAGCTGAACCGGACAGAGCACAAAGAGAGAATTAGTTGACTCAAGAGACGCAGATGCGCAGAGAAGCGCGCTGCGGTACTGCCACGCTGGTGAATCGGGTCCTAGCGCGAATATCACGTAAGTCAAACCGCTTGCAACGCTTACTTAGTCGTACTCACCGCGACTGGGAAGCAATGCTCCACACTCTAAACTAATGTATATTCAGCCCATTTCAAGCCAAATATTCCCAAGTTGCGAGGAGGCTGTGTCCTTACAATCATCAAATGCAGCAGTGAAACACGCTTTCAGCAGTAAGACTATTAAGCTCATAGAGAGCCTTTAAGCAGGTACACGACTCTTATTCCCATATCATTTGCAAACGGTTTCCTGAACAGGATGGGAAGTAAATAAATAAATAAGCAAACATACAAATATGTTTCGTGTTGCTCTGATCTCCCAAGGCCCACGCACGGAACGAATGGGTAAAACCAACGACTAGTCGACCACCTTCGATTGCCAGTGACTGCGGGAAACCCGGCATAGCCAACTCCTAAAAGAAGGGGTGTTAAAAAAAGTAAGACAAAAAAGTAAGAGGCAGGGTAAAAGAATTCGCGAAACTTACAATGAGTTTGGAAAAGAAAGTAAAGTGAGAGTGGAACTCAAGATGCAAACATTCCTAGGGCCGCGTTCATACTTTGCGACATTCGCTCTAAGACGCGCGACTGTGACCGACCACGCTTTACCGCTATCGATGTACAGTTGAAACAGTTAAAAGAAGTTCTCTCCTGAATGTGGGCGGTGCAGTTACACGATTAGCAGTAGGGCGCGCCATGTCACAGTCGTGAGCTTTGGGATTCGCTCAAGACGGGAAGTATAAACGCGGAACGAAAGTCATCAAAACAATTCGAAATCAACTACCTTCCACTTCTTGTGTCTCTTTTCACTTCTGTCGATCTGATACACGATCACGCTCTTCTTTATTGCAACTGCGATATAGTGAACGTTTCCAGCTGGACCAGCAGAAGCCGTGCCAGCCATCGAACCAGCGCCCATCGCCATCAAATGACAGCCCTTCGTGTCAGCAACCTTAAGCAATCATCTTCTAAGTTTGATGGTAGACATGATCGCATCAGAACTCACAAAAATCGTTTCTGTGACTGTATAATACGAACATTTGGTCAAAAGAAAGGACACGGGCGAGCAAGAAAAACAGAAATTTCTTGCAATGTACAAAATAAAATCAGAGATTTCCTTGGTTGAGAGTGGTTCTTTTACAGCGTGGAAAGCAATCGAAGGGGTATTGAATAATTACATACCTTGATCCATTTCAGGTCACGCCCATCTAGTGCAGCCGACGGGACTAGCCGGACATGGCGTTCCTTTGGAGGGCCAACCATGACCAAAAGCAGCTAAACATGGAATATATGGCTGATGTGACGACTTATAGGAAGCCAGTCTTAGTGAAAAAGATGTCACACCTGCTCCGAAGCGTTGAATTCCACTTTTTCGACAAATCGGCCTTTGTTCTCTTTCTCGCCGCCAACAGCCACAAGCGTCTGAATAATTACTGATACATGTGCAACTACGGTTGGCCGACGTAATTACGATATCGAAGGCATTGTATTTTTCACTCTTGCGCACGCATAGGAACAGGATAGAACTGGTGAATATCACTATTACAAGGAATATGAGGGAATGCAAGGGCACAGCTTGAGCGGCGTCAGAGGTGTTTCTCACCGTTCTACTGTCGGAAAGGAGTGGTAAACTAGTGAGAAATTATCAAAGTAGGTCTGACTCCGCCCATATCATCAGCGTGGACTGTGCACTCAAGTTCTCAGATACATTTGGGACAGAGCATGGTTGCCTTATCCCTTTTCCCTTATCGAATAAAAACAGAGAATAACTACTGGTGAGCAAACTTCTAGAACAGCAAGAATAAACAAACTGCGCGTACCTCACGATCCAATTCCACGCAGTACATGCCGACGTCGGCAAAGCCGATCACCACTTTTGTCCGATCAATAACCACTGCACATTGTGCTACTCGTATTGATGGTAAACTGGCCACGTCGAACACTTCCTATAACACAGTTTTCTTGAAATTTTTCGACCATCACCCCTTTAATGCTCTGCCAAAAAGGGTACGATGGTAAGCTGAGCGTGTTTAAATATGAAGCTGTGTCATACACAAAACAGTAGAGAGAACTGTCATTAACAAGACCATTTTAAAGACAGCCCCCGCGCTCGAGTAGTACATGGTCGTCCTTCCTTGTGCAAGTAGTACAGCCCCAAGCTAGAGACTATCCCACTCTCGCGACTCCACAGCGAGCGAGGAGCGAGCTACAGCCGCTGAAAGTTCTAGTACTAACGCCCGTTTTCTAGTACTAACGCCCGCTAAGTTGCAACGCTCACTTGCTGGATGCCCTCCGACGGAGGGCAGCTCAGTTGTTCTTTGTTGGGGCGGCGGGCATTAATCGGAATTGCATGTCCTTTTCGCTAACAGCGCTCATGCCCATGAATGATTCTGCTCTCCTTTATTACATTTTATTAATCGAGCACATACAGTGGACTCCAACACATCTCGCAAGATAAAACGCGTAAAAATCACGAGCGACCCAATTTTCGCGGTGCAAAAGCTCGACACTTCACTACACTAAAATATGCACGCTACCGTAACCCTAAATTCGGACGCCGGCTTTTTAAATGTTTCTTTTTCTTTTCAAGAGTTTTTCCTCTCTGTTTTTGTTTTTTTCTTTTCTTCGCATTCGATGATATCCACTACTGGGAGATGTGATAAAGTGATTTGTGAGCCAGGGCTTGCACAGAGACCGCAAGGAGGTGTGACTGTCAGGGCGCGATTTTGTTTATGGTGTTCTTGAGGACTCTTCTTGCTTTTTTTTCTTTGGGGAATTACTTATCAGCTACTGTTTCATAATTGAAAACAACTATCCATGACACTTTTATCGCGGGAGCTGTCTTTAAGTTACAGCACCGTACGAGTTGCTGGCGCTCGTGATTCGACAAAGACGGGCGTATTGCCTGTTGATTAAGCTGTTTATGATAGAACATAATGAGTGTGAAAAGTGGGGACCCCCGGGTCAAGATGGAGAGCTCGCGTCGTCACAACCCCTTCATTTCGTTGCCCCACACCTTCAGTTGACAGTAGTGGCACACCCAAGTCGGCTGCGGACATACGCACTTCATGTGGTAGAAGCAATCTGCCTATCGGCTAACGTATTGTGGGGCTTTGAGCACAGAGACTGCCTACTTCCTTTTCTATGGAGACATCATCGAGACCCTTACTATAGTCATATGACGACGCATAGACACTTCACAACCTCGGCAATAAAAGCTATTCGAAAATCACAGTACCAACCTTTACGGTGAAGGCACTCCTGTCGGCTAATCGAGACCTTTTGAGCAGAGTTTTGAGCTCATTCAAGGCAATTACCCATTTCTTTCTTTCCTGAAAGAGGAACCAATGAGGTAATATCTCCAAGTGGTATGCAACCAAAGGAAGTAGCTCCATACAAACCTCCTGGCTATCTGCCATCAACAATGTATACTGCCTTGTCATGGTACTTTCATCTGTCATGGATGAGCCTTGAATCTGACTTGTCGTGATGCGGAAAATTTTGGCCAAGTCGTTCCTAAACTTCAGATTTAATCCCAAATAGAGCTAGAAGTATAATGAACACTCGAATATTGAAAAACGCATTTTAAAAGCAAATGAATCCAATGAACTCACTTATTAGCATGTATAACATCTTGCTCGTTAACGCCGGTCACACCAAAGTCGGGATCTCGCATATCGAGGACCTGAACGACAAGCCTCATAGTAAATAATTAAAGTTTGTCTTAGTGAGATTGTTTCTGGCAGAGAAA